TTTTTTTGTGTGCGTTTCATTTTATCTAAATTTCATAGTTCCAAGCATCGACAAGCTTACAAAAAATTAAAATAACTCTGATAATTTATTTTTAACTTTTATAAAATATATAGAAATGATATTTAGATAATATATTTTCAAAATAATATTATTATAAATAATAATTTTATTCATAAAAATGTTCAAAAAAAATATTTTGCATATGGATAATATTTTCAATAATACTTTATATATCCATAGTTGGGGTAGACCGAATTGGCACTAAGTCTTGGTAGGTCAACCAACAAAGGAAAGAGCTAGGTCGACCAGAGGAATAAGCGCAGGAAAGGACAGCGGGAATAAACCGTTCAAAGTCTTGTTGATTCTCCTCTTGTAGAAGTTGGATTCTCCCTCTTTCAGAGTGTTTAATTTTGTTTAGTGTGTTTGTCTTGTGGGTGCGTTAGTGTAGTCTCCTTAGGCTCCTGATCTCGAGTGGTCTCTTGCAAGATTCAACTAGACGGTTGCTTGACTAATTCTATTTGTTATCTAGTTGTAATTATATGTTTTTATTCTATAAAATCTGTCGTTTCGAAAATAAATAATAAAGCCGACCAAAGTCAGGAAAGAACGGCCTAGTGAAGAAGGAATGACCTAAGCCACTGCTGAAAGGCAACCTCCAGAATGACAGCATGGATCCTACTCTTAGATACGCAGAGATACATGTTATATTGCAACCTATTGACACTTGAACTGTGGTAGATACCAGTAGTGAGGTCGAGTAAATGACCTAATGAGAACCCAAGGAGATCCAATGAGGATAAGAAGGAATCTAATGATGATGAGAATGCCGTTGGGATAAGGCTGAATCTCGAGAAACCATAACTGTTTCGGGCATGATGATCGGGGCAACTAGGCAGATAAGGCAGCCCAATTCTAGGCACCAAGCATCCCACTGTAAAAGGGGCTGAGGTATCACTGTAAAATATCTACACACTCTACATACTCTCTACTTATATAGTTTATTATCTTTTTCCCTGATCTAACTTGAGTGTCGAAGTGCTAACGCCGTAGAATCCTCCTGAACCCCTTAGCATGTCATCAGTTGTTTACAGACGATCAGAATTCTAAAGCTGTCGGATCAACCCAGATCTAGGTGACAGACACATCAATACTAATCAGAAAAAAATATAATAATATTTTAAATCATTTTATTTTCTAATTTTATTACAAATTTATATTATCCATTAATGTAATATTTGATTTTATTACAATAATATTTCTTTAAACTTTTGCACAAAAGTAGCTTAAATGAATTAATTTTCTCACTCAAGTAATTTTACTAATGATATCTATAAATTTTTATTATAATTATTTAGAATATAAATTTCAAAATATTAGTATTTTTGTGTACGTAATTATGTAAAAATATAAAGTCAGTTGAGGTGTCCAATTGAGAACTGACTGTAAAAGTAAGTCTTCAACTGAGAATAACTTAAAATTTAAACCTTAAATTGAAAAGGTTGAAAATTTGGACTCTGTTGTGACATAATACCAAAATATCAAGCCCATATTTGGGTAAGAGCATTCCAACCTTGAGACCCAAAAACTCTACTAGGCTGCTCATCGACAAAGCCTTCACCAAGCCTGTTATTTCCCGAAGTGTACTTGTGGCCACACAATCCTAGATCAAACATTCCCATTAGTGTTATACTATAAAGGTTGTGAAAGAGGGTACGGGTGTGATTCTGCCTCCTTAGGTTGTGAAAGAGAATAAAGGTCTGATTCTGCCTCCTTTCTTTTACTCTGAGGTGGTGATATCATTGCAATCACCACCAATAAACCAATAATCTCCCAGCTTGGCTCTTTGAGTACTATTAGTGCTTGCATACAAAAAAATCCCCCAACAAGTTTTAACTTTTGCCTCATCCCAGAATTCCACTTGGATGTAAAAGGAGGATTTGATGATTTTATATATGTGGACAGAGACATCCCAAACTAGCAACAATCATCCTCTTTTTCCATTAGCTTCAACAGAAGTCCATTTATCCCCAAACCCAAGATTCCTACAAACAGTATGCACAAAGCTATCTTTTAGTTATTTTATTATTACTTTCTTACAGAGAAGAAAGCAAAAATAGGGTGGTGGAGTCTCCAAGACTTCTTGAGCTGGGAAACTATGAAGGGCCCACCCAGCCCTCTATAGATCCACATGAGTGTCTTCATTTGGTCATAGTGGGGCCCTTTTGCGCTTACTCTTTTCACTCATTAGCACTAAGTTTTTAATTTTTCTTCAGTTGGTTATCATCTAGTATGGTCAGAGATGGGTTCTCCTCTTAATCCTCCTGGCAACTCATCAGTCTTGTACCTTGTGAATCTCTGAGAGAATGTAGGTTCTGATTGTCTGGCTAAAGGAGACATAGCCTTCCTTTTTCACTTTTTGGGTTTTCTTGGTTGAGTCTCTTCCTCTGGCATTGAGAACTTAGCCTGCTGATTAGGTTCTTGAGGGTTAAAAACCACGAGACTGGGATTACTATTGTCAATTGTGTCCATTGGAGTGAAAGCATCTAGGGTGGTTGAAGGTTTAGGAATTTGGGTTTGGAGAGTTTTAGGAGTGATTTGATGTTTCTGTGTAGCTGAATGAGAACTTTAGGTCCCCTTTGAGGATTACGGTTCTTATCTAGCTTCTGTACAAGATGTGGTTGACTCAACTATAAAAGATGATTTTCTAGAATTGTGAGGGATTATGGGTTCCTTCTGGGATGGAGGTTGAGTGTTGAAACTCGGATGGCTGGTGTTAGGTGAGTCTGATTTTGAGCTTGAGAAAGTGTGGTTGACTGAGGGTTATCTTTGCTCACAAATTCTATCATGATGTTCCAAAAATTCGCAGTAATAGCACAGACTGACCAATCTCTCATACTTAACAATAATTTTCTTTTGTACAAGCTGCAGGCAGGCATACCTTAGGATTGGTTGGTCCAAATCCAGGATTAATAAAAGTCGGATATGCTTTCCAACTAGATTTCAAGATTGAGGGACCTATATTCCTTTATCTTTTTGAAGGCTTTACCTAATTTGAGTCCTACCTCTGCAGAAATCTAGTTGATGAGATGTATCAAGCCTGCACCCAAATGTCCAGTTAAGGTGTTCCTTAAAATCAGGATGATTAGCGTTTATATGACCTCTTTTCATTCTCTTAGAATGAGGAACTGGTTTTCGAAAGTCCACCCAGTTCCTTTTGCGACCTTTTGCTTATCTACATATGAATTGAAAAAGTTCTGGCTTAACTCTTTGATATTTACTCAAGCCCTAATATTCCAAGTCTGGGTTATCACCCTTTTAAGACCTATGAGGTTCAGTTTCTTTTATCTGATTAATTTCCAAATAGATTACTCTTAATCGATACTAATCTGAATATCCTCCGTATCATTCCAATTTATCTCAGACAAAACTGGTCTAAATTAATACCAGAAAATTGGCGAAATAGATAATATCCTCCGTATCGATGGAATGATGTTAACCTCTTTTGCAGACAGATGAGCTGCTCCTAGCTTTTGGGATAAATCTTCCTCCATGATAAACACTAACTTATGCAGATGAAGAAGAGAAAAGGATCAACATTGCTGATACTTAGCCCATGTAGGTACATTTACTATATTAAGAGATTAACCAACTATCGACCTAAAGAAAAATAAGGGACGACGGTACAAACGAAGCGAAGCAAAGTGAAGTCAAAGTTTGGTTGGTAAATTTGCAAGATCTGTACCAATGAACCTCTCATATGAAGATAAGTCAGTCTTTCTTCTCTAAAAAGGCAACGGAAGAAGGGGAACATGAAGACATAAAAAGCAATAAGAAGGGAAACTAAGCAATCGATAGAGGAATCGAGGGGAAAGACCAACCTAATTCAGTCTGATTTGCTTCCTAATCGAGAAGATGAAGCCTGCAGATGAAGGAATGAAAACTCCAAAAGGTAACACTCTAACCCTCGTACGAAGGAGAATCCGTATTAAATAATAAATTATAATAATTTATACTTACTTATATATATTTTTCATTTGTACTAAAAGTATGTAAAAATAATATAACTATATTTAGAAAACATAAAAATAAAATTTGGACCATCAATTGGTTCTGACATGATGGCCAGGTTCTCGGTCCAATCGATCCAACAAGCGGAGCGGATATGTTTTTGAGGAAATTGCACCCTGCACGATACCTTCAATTTTTTATTACATTAATAATGCCCTTACAAATATTAGCAAATTGACTAAATCTATGGATTTTATTTGCAAAAATACCACATAACAAGAAAACAAATAATTGAATTTAGCGTGATTAAAGGTGAAATCTTATCACCTTCCAATAACTGCTTCCGATGCAATTGGTAAGAATGTAACCTCTCTCTCTCTCTCTCTCTCTCTCTCTCTCTCTCTTTCTCTCTCTCTCTCTCTCTCTCTTTATTTTTAAAGCGACCACAACTTCTCCTTTGTCTCTCTCCATCTTTCCCATCTTCTCTC